TTTGCGCTGCAGCCCGGCTCGCTCCACCTCAGGGCTTTCGGGGTGAGGGCAGCTCGTCGGCCCCGGAAGGAAGGTCCCGCTCGATGCCGCTGTCGGTGGACAGTACGGACGCCCGGGCCGACTCCCGGTCTGGCGGGACGCCCTGCAGATCCAAAGCTTCCAAGTCTGCACTGAGGCGCAGCTGGGATCGCGGGCGCAGAAAAAGCACCAGTTCCTTCCCTGGTATGCAGAGACCAAGAGGATCATCAGGGCAGAGAGGGGATGCCAGGCCGGCAGGGCCTCGCCCTGGTGAGGCCAGTGGTTCTGTGTTTCTCACATACTGTTTAGCTGAACAGAAGCTGAACAGAACATGATGCTCCGCAAAGGAACAGAGGTTCTGTGGCCAACAAAGCCTGAGAACCACACATTCCTGCCAGGAGTGAACGTCTTAAAGGCTCTGAGAAGTCCTGCAGCAAAGAAATCAGCTTACTGCAGTACCTCCTAACTCTAGAGCCCTCCTCTCCATATTGGCTCAGTAGCATCCTCCCCGTCTCCCACCCGCAGCTTCCCCTGAGACACAGATAACAGACCATCAGCTCCTGCAAAGTCCTCCAGGCATTTCCAATCAACCTGCATTTTATTTCCCATGAGGAAACTGAGGCCCGAGGGAGAACTGAGTCTGTCTAGGGTGACCCAGCACGTGAAGGACATGCAAGACTTGAACCCACTACACTAGTCCAGCCCTTCCCACTACACCCTGCACCTCTGTCTTCCCCCCTCCCTTGAGAAGAGCCAGGGGGACTGTGGGACAGAACACCCGTGTGGAGGGGAAGTGCAGGTGAGTGGGTCTCTCTCGAAAGCCCCCTCTAGCTCTGGGAACCCTAACTTTGTGCCTGTCTCCTTCTTGGGGACATGCATTGTCTGTTGGCATCATCATGGCATGTGGCACTTTCTAGACATATGTGGCCAGTGGCTAATGCACTGACCTCTTCTGGTGTAGAGAAAATGCATCCTCTTTCCAGATGCTGCAGAACAACTCAGGGAACATGGAGCACACACTCACAGATAAACACACAGACACACACAGAGACATACAAACTACAGATATACACACAGAGACAACAGACACACAGAGACAGAAACACACACAACAGATACACACACATATACACAGAGACATACGCAGACATAGACACTCACGAGACACGCGCAACAGATACACACACAGTTACACAGACACACACGATGCACAGAGACACACATACTCACACACACACACACACACACAACACCCCCTGATTATTTCCAGCCTGTTCGCCACCGAGTGGTCAAAGGCATGGCACTTACAGAGCTGGTCCTCATCCGTCCACAGGTGGAAGGTGATATGTGGGCTGGGCAGAGGGATGCTTGGCAGCTGGTCCTGGAGGGGGTCACCTGAAGGAAGGAGCAGGCTGTGGAGACCACGGAGGAGAGGATTGTGGGATTCTTCTCTGCTCCTGCATGGGGCCTAGAGGGGGGTGGCAGAGACCCTCTCCTCCCATGTCTGGCCTTGTTGAGTTCCCTTTCCCCTCGGCCACCATCAGCTCATCCGGGGCCTAACGCTGCTGGTCCCCTCTCTACCCAGAATGCCTAGCGGCTCCCTGGTTCCTGCCAACTGCCTAGCTCGGCCTTTAGGATCCTTCACAAACCAGCTCACAGCGTCTTTCCCAAACTTTTCTCCCGTTGTTGGTCCCTCCCCACTGTTTGGAGAAGTCCTGTCCACAGGCAGACCCAGGGGAAAGGCCTTTGTATTTCTCAGGGCCTCCTCCAGGACTTTGCACACAGTAGATGCTCAGTTAACATTAGCTCCCGTGGGTGATGCTGAAGAGTCACGGCCAACTACTAAGGGCAGCAGCAAGCCTGCGGTCCAGGGGGGAGACCAGGGCCGGCCGATCCCCTTTCTCCTTCCAGAGCCTTCCTGACACTCCAGCCCTGGTAGTCATTCCCTCCCAGGAACTGTTGGCTGCACTCTGGGCACACCTACTATGTAGCCTTAGGATTTAACGTCCACAAAACATGGCTCCCTCCTGAACGAGGCTGCAAGTTTCCTTAGGGGAGAGCAACCCACGGTCACAGAACACTTATCACTGTTCTCCTCACCTTGCCCACAGCGCCATCATCTCACTGGATCCCACCAGCAACCCTCGCTATCCTCACTTTACAGAGGAGGTGTCAGGGGCACAGAGAGGTTAAGTCACTGGCTGGAGGTCACACAGTAAGTGGAAGAGCCAGAATTTGAGCCTAGGCAGCCCAGCTTCAGAGTCCATGGATTTACCCACAACATGGTGCTCATAACCACTGTCCCATCCTCCCCTCCAGCAGCAGGTGGCTGGTCACTGAGACACACCAGGTAGGGGTGGGTATAGCTCAGTGGTAGAGTGCATACTTAGCTTGCACAGAGTCCTGGGTTCCATCCCCAATACCTCCATTAAAACAAACAAACAAAAAACAAACAAAAGATGCACAGGGCAAGCCTGGGTAGGAGGCAGTTCCTGGATCTGGCTGGGATAGTGGAGGCAGCCCCGACTGGGTCTCGTCCTGCTCATGCAGAGTTACCACTGAGTTAGCAAGTGGTACCCAAGGAGAGCAAAGCCAGATTTGCCCCCGCGTTTGGCCCGGTTTTAGGGAAGCTTCAAGAATAGACATTTGCACATGGTAATCAGAGGCAAAATTAAAGCAAAACAAAAGAACAAAAGGCTGAGAAGATGGTGGAAGCCTTCTGGCAGCAGCCATCCCGCTCGCCTCACCCTGTCATCTGCAGCCTCCACCCTCCCTGGGCTGCTGAGGTCAAGCCCAGGGCTAGCACCCTGACCTCTGCCCAGGGTTTCCAGTCCTCCGGCCAGTGCTGTGCACCAATGCGTGCGCCATGTGTTCTGGGAAATGCAGGGTGACAAACTCCATGCGTGCTTTGGGTGGTGGTGAAATAGGACACAAGTCTGAACCGTGCTCCAATGGCCGGAAAATACATGTTCTGGACACTTCTCTGAGCTCTAGGGTTTCCCAGGTACACGGGGCATGGTCTTATGAAAAAGCAAGTAGAAAGGAAGCATGTGGAATAAAACTGTGTGAGACCTGGTGTAAGTGATGTTGACTCAGCTGCTGTGTTAGATGTTCTTTAGAGGATCGGCGGACCAGCAGATCCTTTGGTTACTATAGTGTAGTGGTTAAGAACCAGACAGCCTGGGTTTGAATCTCGGCTCTGCCACTTACTAGCTGGGTGATCTTGGACAGGATTCATAGCCTCTTTCTAACTCAGTTTTCTCATCTGTAAAATGAGGATAATGCTTTCTATCTCATAAGTAGTTTATTGTGAGGGTTAATTGATTTAATATATGTAATGTATTTACATTCATGTAAAATGCTTAGAGCAGTAATTGGGGTACAGTAGGTGCCCTGTGCCAGCTGTTATGAACAAATTACCCACCTTCTTATTAGCTCAGGACCTTCAAGGTCCTGGGCATCCTCAGTCCCCAGGCTCCTAGGAGCGGCCAAGTGTCCCACCCCACTTCAGCCACACACACGCAGCGCCCCCTGCGGGTCCCGGGACCGCAGCCCACCGGGCCTACCGCTTACCGCCGCAGCGCCCCCTGGCGGCCTCCGCCGGGCCCAGCAGCGAGCAGTAAATCTCCTCCAGCCTCTCCAGGTGTCCTTCCCGGCTCGGGCTGGGCTCGGAAGCCATCTGCTCCACCGCTGACACCACGGCGTGGAAATAGCGCTCCAGGACGAGGCGGGGGCTGGCCTACCGCGGAGGAGAGGCAGAGCCTGAGTCCCGGCCCAGCACCCACCCACTCCTGCTCTGACGCCAAGTCCGCAGGTGCGCAGACAGGCCAGTGGCACCTCCCCTGTGGCCCGGTTCCCTGCAAAGGCTTTTGCACCCCACATCCAGGGCCCTGCTTCTGCCCTGCTTCAGTTGTTGCCCGATGCTGTCCCCTCGGCCCCTCACACCCTTCTGTGGGGGGACAGCTGGTGCCCAGCAACGTCAGGATCCCAGGGGGGCAGGGACAGCTGGCGCCTACCCTCCTTGGAGCGTCACCACGCATCTGGATCAGTGTTCTGCCATAACTAGGATGTAAACTCCAGGAAGGCAGGGGTTTTTGTCTGTCTTGTTTACAGCTGCATCCCCAACAAGTATAAAATCTCCTGGCACATAGTAGGTGCTCAATGAATGTGCTGAATATTTCCTGTCTGTCTTTCCTATATTGCCTGAACCTACCAGCTATACTCATTATTTTTCTTTCAACCAGTGCACTTTTTTGGCTCAGAATTACTTCAAGAGGAAATTTGGAGGGGGGTGTAATTAGGTTTATTTATTTATTTACTTTTTTTCTTAGTGGAGGTACTGGGGATTGAACCCAGAACCTCCTGTATGCTAACCAGGGACTCTACCACTGAGCTGTGCCCTCCCCCAAAATGAAATGTGATATAGCTGCTGTAAGTAAAAAGGCTAGTGTCACTTATAAATGGAAGATAACTAACATGAATCTAATGATCACTAAGCTCTATTATTAAATTCCAGCCATGTGCTATGGCTGCCAAAGCTGCAGAGCTGGAAGCTTGCTTTCCCCCTTTAAAAAGGGAGATTAGCAGGTATTAAAGACGTTAAGGGGTTAAGGGTACAGCACCAAGCTGGGCTTTTCTCCTCAATGGAAACAGGTTTTGAGTTTCTCGCTCTGCCATTCCACACTCTCCAGCACCGTGGGCTCGCTCCTGTCTCCAGTGGAACAGCTCTGAGACCCTGAAAATCACCCTGGATCACGTTCTCCGGCTGTGTTCCCTCACCCACCTCCCACCACCACTCACTAATCCCAGCTCACAACCGAGGATGCTGGGCCCAAACAAGTGACACTGGCAGGCACAACAGGGCTTGCTGGGGGCAACCACAATGGTGTGATGGCGCTTTTAGAGAACAGGAGTACGGAAGACAATCAACAGGGTTTAAGGAGGCACCCAGCTGTACATGAAAGACACCCGTCCAAGGAAGGACCCAAGACGTAGGGCTCAGGTTGTGGAGAATTCCAGGGAGAAAAAGAGAGCATCTTGATGGGCAAAGCGGGGTCTGAGACGCGGGCTGGAGAAAGGACCGACACCCACCTCCTGGGGCGGGACCAGCAGGGGATCCGGACCCCTTGAGGGCACCCCGCCGCCAGCGCCAGCCCCTCCTGCAGCAGCAGCACCAGAGCCATCCTCCAGTCTGCCTTCCCGCAGGACGGGCGCCTGTCCTCCAGCTGTGCGGGACGCGCTGCCCCAGGGGGCACGGGCATCCTCCCCAGCCCAAGAGATCCAGCACCTGGGGCCACCCCGACCAGAGACCCTCCAACCTGCTGCCGTCTTGGCTGTGGACAGGGGCTGAGGCTGAGTCAGAGAGAAAAGCTGGGAAATAAGTGTGCAAGGCTTGGGAACCAGCCAAATGCCCGCAATAGAAACAGGGGACGCGTTAAAGAAATAACAGCACGTTCACAAGACAGAACACTCTGCACCATTAGAAGCACATACTTCCCAAAGAAAATAGTTCCATGTGGCATATTTCCAATGGCAAGGGAAGTAAATACTATATCGATGCACATATACAGGCAGTATATAAACTGTTTACAGAGTCTGGCATCTCAGCTTTTAATAAGGAGTTGTGTGTGTGGTGGGGGGAGGCTGGAAGGCAATTGAACACAGGCTTGAAGTCAGAGAGACCTGGGTTCAAATCCTGCCTGGCACAGCCACTTTGTATCTGGGTCACCATAAGTTATCAGCGTCTCTGTGCCTTTGTTTTGGTCATAATATCCCCTTCACAATGCTCTGGTGAGAATTTGTTAACGTGATACATTAATGGAAACAGAGCAACGTGTCAGTTGCTGATATATCTGGGTAGAGCGATGTGGATGATTTTTATTTCCTTTCATGGCTCATCTGCACTTTTTCCTAGGTTTTCCTTAGTGAATGTGTACTGATTTTCGGCTGAGGGAGAAGCGGCAATACGGAAAGGGAAGAAGCATGGGCGGCCAGGGCAGTTGCCTTACCTGCAGCTTCCTTTGCAGAGTGCCGGCATGGCAGGCCTCCCCCAGCGCCGCCTGCAGGGCGTGGGAGACCACGTGGCGCATGCAGGCCTCGGGTGTCTGCTGCTCCTGGGCCGCCTGGATCTCCAGCAGCAGGGCACTGCACACGGAGGGAGACACCAGCTCAGGATCCACGAAGAGGAACACTCTGAGGGCAGAGGCGGGGGGACCAGGGGCTGATGAGGATGACCGCTGGGAGAAGGGCCACTGGAGGGGCACCCTCAGAGCCTTGCAGCCCCCCCAAGTTATTTAATTCCTCCCAAAACAGGAGCCTCAAATTCAAATGTTTATAGGGAGTGGAGGGGATTGCGACAAATAAGAACACGCATGGCCCCTCTCTGTCCCTCTAGTCTCATGTCTAGGTGAGTTCCAACTGAAAAGCTGCTCCCTCCCTCCGTGCTGTGGCCCACTGACCACACAGCCCTCTAGGAGGGACGCCAAATCCCTCCTGCTGAAACTGGAGCTCTGAACCCTGAGTCCCAGAAAACCAGCCTCGCTCACCCCCTTCCCCTTACTCAACCGTGTCATCCCAACCACTCCAATGCTAAGTTCTCCGGACCCCATCACCCCGCTGCACCCTCCATGAACACAGAGCCTCAGGCTGCACCTTTCAGTACCAGGTCAGCAGAGACACCATCAGGGGAGGAGGCTATGCACCCCTGACTCCATCAGCCCCTCTCCCCAGCACGGGCAGTGGACTTGTTCTCAATCTTACACACACAGATGAGAGACCCCTGGTCTCCTGGTGTGATTGTGGCCTGAACTATAGACAATTGGGAGCCACCTCTGGCTGCCTGTCTGCTTGATGTGGCATCAGGGCCAAAGGCAGGAGGGAGGTGGAACCACAGAACTCCAGGGTGGCCCAGGATAGCTCTGAATCCAGCCCGGGAAGAAAGACCTAACTGATCTTCAGGGAAGGACACGCCCCATCCACCTTGAGGACGTCCCCTGCTACCGGACAAATGCCAAGAATGGGAAGCTTTGCTGGGGCTCCTCTCCATCCAGCCTCCTCGCTGGACCACCTGACAGCATCCACCTGACACTCACCTCTCCTGGTAGGGGTACAGCTCACTCGTCAAGTTCTGCTCGGCAATGACCAGCCTTTGGTACAGCGTCCCTGCAGAGCAGACCACTTCAGCCAACCGGCCCCTGAGCCTCTGACCCCCGTTCCCCACTTTCCCAGAAGGTGCTGGGACTTCTGAGCCCCCCTGAAATCCTGGAGCCGAAGGCCAGACCTTGGGTAGAGCTGGAGCTGCAGCCTGGGAGACGGAGCCCCCAGCTGCCCTTACCTGGGACGGCCGCCTCCGTTTTCAGCCTGATGGCGCAGTCCAGCGCAACTGTGCAGTAGGGGGCAGGCAGGGTCAGCGACCTCATGCAAAAGGCGTAGGTTCTCCGGTGGAGCTCCTCTGTGATGCCCGTGGCCTGGGTGAGAGGGAGGAGCCGGGGGGGGTCCCAAGCCCTAGGTCACGAAGGGCCCTGGGCAGGACGGGGTGTGACAGGGTGGGAGAGGAGCCAGACCTGGGTTCAAACTCCCCTCCCAAATCTACACCTTAAGCCTCTTCTCCCGGCATCTCTAAGACATCTCCTCGACATCTCATTCACACTTATCAGGATGGAAATTTGTTCCCATCCTGTTCCACCAGCAAATCAACTCCCCTCCCAACCCTTCTGCTCTGTCCGGGCTGCACATCCCCCCACTACCTCTCCAGTTTCATCTCTTCGTGTACTAGGGAGAGGGCACAGCTATGCAGAGAAACCAGTTAGGGGCAGGCAGTCCTGGAGTTCCTCTAGGCTCGCCAGGCGGAGACTGGGTGTCCACTGAGGGGAGAGGAAGTGTCCCGCCCAGTCACTCGTGAGTTGCCACGACCTCCTGGGCTCTCGGCCCCTGCTCACCTTAGTGAACACGTACATTAGTGTGTGCAGCAGGGGCATGATGACATGCCGGGCGTCCTCCCTCTCTGCCTGGAAAACAGAGCACAGGACATTTATGGGGCTGCGAGCTGGGGGGCTCGCCACGTCCTAGCAGGAGATGGGGTGGAAGGCAGTGTCCCACTAGGCCAAGGGGAGTGGACAGGGACCACCATCTGCCCTGGCAGGAGAGCGACGGGGTGGGGGAGGGGGCACAGGTGCGGGAGCCCAGGTGGGAGGGTGTGGGGGGAGGGGTGCAGGGAACTCCAGCGGGGGAGGCAGATTGACTCAGTGCAGCAAAGCGACAAGCAAGTCCCCAGCTCAGAGCCTCCCTTGAGTTCAGCGTTTCCCAAACAGGTGCACACAGAGCACTGGGTGGTGCGGAGGATAATTATAGGGATCATTTTGAAATTTTTTAATAGGTACGCATTTATGTTTATAAGGTGCTTTCCGGCTCTGTCAAGTGGTGTGGGTTTTCCATTTATGGTCATGTTTTAGAGGTTCTTTCTGAAAGATGTGAACTCGGGTCAAACAATGGGAGTCCATGTAAAGACAGCATTGCTTATAGAAAAGTACGAGAGAGAGAAATGCAGGAATCAAGCAGGTGAGCCACAAATGGCCAAAGTGTGGGGGACACAGGGCTGATGGGTCTGAGTCCCCAGCCGGACTGGCCTCTCTTCCTCTGGTCCCCGCCTGCCTCCCCGAAGCCCAGGAACCCACCTTCTCCAGTTCTCTGAGCAGAATTCGGACCAGCACCGGACGCTTACCAGGATCCCGCTCGACCTTCTTGTGCAGGGACCATCTCCACATGCCTGGGCCAGGAGAGAGGGGAGTCCAGCACAGCCGGGAAGGGCAGGGGGGGGGGGACTCAAGAAGAGCCCCAAGTCTGACCCCCCAGGCCGGGCACTGGGCTCCATGCCCACGGGTGGGCTTCTCACATGTGGGGGACCTGTGATCTGCAGCCCTTGTGGGCGGTGCATTCCCAGGGCAGAAAAGAGGGAGGTGGGATGCTCGTGGGGACAGGTGTGTGCACATGGCTTATGGAGAAGTGATGTTTAGAGCTCAGCGCCACAAGACCCCTTCCCGGGAGCCAGGTGGGCCTGGGGTGCCAGGGGAATTTTATTTGCAAGGGGAGTTGTAGAAGATGGTTAAGAAAGATGGTGGCAGAGCCCCAGGGGCTCCGCCACAGCCACTGGGAGCGTGAGCCAGGGGGCAGAGAAGGCTTCTGGCTCCTGCGGGCTCCAGGGATTTCCAGCAGGATGTGGGCTTGGCTGGAAGCCCCTCATTCTGTGAACTCCGGGCTGGGGCAGTTTCCTGAGAGCACAGGGGCAGAGTTGGCTGGGGTGGGGTGGGGAAGCAGAGAGAGTGGACAGATGGCGCCTGCTGGCTCTTACCTTGGTTGCTCTGCAGGGCGGGGGTCTGGGCGTTGAGCTCCCGGAGCACAGCCTGCACACTCCGCTGGAGGTCCAGCTCCACATCTGGGCAGCAGAGTGGGGAGGCTCTGAGGCCCGGAGCTCTGGAGCGCAACATCCCCTGGCTTTACCCTCACCCCGACCTCCACTCTCCCTGAGAATGTCTTTAGCCTTTTTTACAAACCCCAGAGGTACCCAGAAGTAACCAACTGAGAGCTGGCAGCCTGCACCCTGCCAGGGTGAGACTACAGCCTATCAATCAGCATTTCTGTGTTCTTTGTAAAACCCTCATTTCCCAGAGCACAGTACGTCCACTGCCAGTGATAAGCAAGGCAATTTTACATGATACACTAATGATCCTAAAATTTGATTGATTATGCATTTACTTAAACGTATATTAGCAAAAATATGTAACCAGTTCCTCAACCTATGCATGAAGTTAACATTTTAAATTGATTTAAAGAAATATATCAGATAAATACCAGGAGGTAACATGGACTCTCTCCCTGACCAAACCTTACTCAGGATCCTCCAAGCCCTCTTCTCCCGCAGGCCCTCAGCATAGCCCCCCTGTCCTGTCTTTAGCAACAATCCTGTCAGTCTATAGAGAACCCCCAGCCCTGATATCTGATCAAGTTCTCTGTTCCCAACTTTTGATGTTTAAGGCCTCAACCTGCCTCCAGCAAGAATCCTGTTAGGTCAGTTTAGCAAGAATCCTCCCCCCTCCCCCCAGGTCCCCTCTTAGTAATTTTCCATCCACTGACCCCCTCCCTCTGTTGGCTATAAATCCTTAGCTGTCTTTGTCTGATTCAGATTCGAGCCCAATCTCTCTCCTCTATTGCAATAGTCCTTTTTCCCTTTTAATTGAAGTATAGTTGATTTACAATGTTGTGCTACTTTCTGGCGTATAGCACTGCGATTCAGATATATATATATATATATAGGCATAATATATATATATATATGCCTTCTCATGTTCTTTTTTGTTATAGGCTATTACAAGACATTGGATATAGTTCCCTGTGTTATACAGTATACACTTGTTGTTTATCTATTTTATACATAGTAGTTATTAGTATCTGCAAATCCCAAACTCCCAATTTATCCCTCCTCACCCCCTTTTCACCTAGTAATCCTATGTTTCTTTTCTGTGTCTGTGAGTCTGCTTCTGTTTTGTAAATAAGTTCATTTGTATCATTTTTAAAGATTCTACATATAAGTGATATCATATGGTATTTTTCTTTCTCTTTCTGGCTTACTTCACTAAGTATGACAATCTCCAGGTCCATCCATGTTGCTGTAAATGGCATTATTTCATTCTTTTTTATGGCTGAGTAGTATTCCATTGTATAAATATACAACTTCTTTATCCAGACATCTGTCCACAGACATATTGCAACAGTCTTGCATAAAGTCTTCCTTAGGGTTTTAACAAGCGTCAAAATAACTGTTTTCTTTCATAGTGGTGCGTTGACATGGCAGAACCATGGAGGTGGTACACAAATGAGTAACTGACATCTAGAAAGTGTGGTAGTGGTGAAAATGCACCTCACTGACCTCATGCTACAAGGAGTTTAATGGACCAAGGAGCTTTGTGCTGTTTCGCTGTGAAGTCCATCACCTTGTGCCAAGGCTGCACTTCCCAGCCGATGTGGACAGCAGCAGGGATTCTAAAGCAGGGTCACCCCCCGGGACCTTTGCAGGTGGTTGACTCTGGCTTGGAGATTCCCCAGCTACCCATCAGTCTAACACATTTCCACCCCACCTTTCCTCCCTTTCTCCTCCTTTCAGATTCAGATTTACATCACAGGCTGGCAGCTCGCTCTCCCAGCCCTCACCGGCTCCCTCTCCGCTTTCTGGACCACAGGTGTTTCCCCCGATGAAGCTTGCATGTTTAATCTTGTCTTGGTATTTGCTTCTCGGAGGATCCAGACCAACACAGGAAGTATGGGAGACACTCCCTGTACCATAAATTCCCCTTTATAAATAGCTCCAACCAAGAGCCTGTCTTTACAGACAAGTGTGCAGTCCCTGGTACTCAGACGGTACAAACCACATGCCCCAGAGCTTCCCCTTTTGCCTTAGCTATCAGGAAGCTCACGGCCAAATTGGGACCCAGCCTCCAAAGTCAGCTCATCTTAAGAGACAGAGACCTCTCTTCTTTGCTCTTTTTGGGGTGCCCCTATTTTTTGTTCTATGTAACGTATACCTTAATGGCCTCGGAGTCCTTTAAAGTCGGTAGGAGAGAGATGACAAATTTAAAAAAACAGCAGGTTGCAGTCCAGGAGACAGAACTTGTTTACGCCAAGGCACTCTGTGCTCTGGTGCCCAGGGACTGGCTCTTCCACGGCTCTGGTGTAGGCCCTTGCCAGTCAGCTGGGGCCACCCAGCCTCTCTGGACCCCTCACTCTCCATCACCCTGGACCACATCAAGGTCTGACCCTGAGTCTCCTCCAGGCTGAGAGCAGGCGTCGAGTGGGCAGGTGTTACAGCCCATGGTTGCCCACCGGCCACTCTGCTGGGCAGAGCAGCATCTCCTCATACTGGCAAGGAAATCATCGAGCTTGGCAAGAAGCAGTCCTTCCATCTACCCAGCTCCACCTTGCACAAAAATAAAAGAGCTTATGCTTTCTTCTTTCCTGCTTTCATCCTTCTCCCCTCCCTTCTTCTCCCCACCTTCCCACCATGGACTACACAAAAGACTTAAAACTGTGATTACTGTGATGTCCTCCCTGCCCCTTCATCAGAAGGGCAGCCAGTCTCTTATCTTCCAAGCCTTCATTTCCCTTGCTTTGCAAAGGGAGTTAAGTTTTTCATGTTTCAGAAAAAATAGAGAAGTTAAAAAAAATCTCTGCCAGTAGCCCCGGAAGACAACACCGAATGAACTTTGTTTTCGAAAGTCTGGGCATCTGGAACAAGCTCTCAGGCTTCGGTCCACATCTGGCTTGCAGACCTGTTTTGTTTGGGCTTGTAGAGTGTCTTGGAAAAAAAAAATGAACTAGCTGCCAACATTTACAAAGCAGGAGATTTTGCATAAAAGTTTGGATTTCTGGCATCTCTTAAAAGTCTATCGATGCTGGACATGTCTTGTGTCACATGCATGTTACACGTGACAATGACAGGGGGTGGGGAGCAGCTTCAGAGTGACCACACTCTTTGTTTCCCTCATTTGCGTCCTCCCCGGCCCCTCGAGGTTGAGACCCCGGGCTGTCTGATGGTGACAGTCAAGCTGGATTGTCTCAAAGGGATGAGGATAAAGGCTGCTGCTTTTAGTTAAAGAGGAGGGTGGCAATTCAAGGGTGGAAGGTTGTATTTCCCAAGACATGAGGGCACAACTGTTATGGGGACTTTGGGAATGAGGAAGACCAGGGCTGGCTGGGATACAGCTTCCCAGTGGTGGTAAAGATTTCAGATGAGGGCAGCTAAGCACTAAACTCTGTTTGCTTGGGTGCCACTGCTGTGGTCTCCTGGGCCACCTTTGCCAGAGCACAAGAACATCCCCAAAGGAGCCCCCGACTCCCTATGGACCATGCAAGCCTGGCCAAGCTGTCCTGGGGGCTGCAGCCACAGTGGACTGAAGACCACAGACTTTTCCCATCATCCAGACTTTGCAACCCCTGGGTTTCTCACAGGATCCCCAGGAGTGGGGAGGCACCCTAAGTGAATGACATGGGAATTTGTACTGTTCTTGGACAAGGAGAGCTTGAAGCTGGATTGGATTTAATTAAGCAAAAGAAAGAATATTGCTTGCACCTCAAGTATCCCAGGGTTGTTTACAGATGGCCTGCATGTCTGACATCATTCCTGACTCAGAACAGCCAATAAACAAGTGACATTCATTTTCCTCCCCTCCAACCAGGAATGTGGGTTTAACTATCAGGTGTCCGGATTACTATTACTACCTAACATTTCATGGTGCCACGAGAGGGAAGAAGCTTCAGTCCCTGGAAGACTGTTTCTAACCCTGACTGGCTGGTGACATGAGTCAGGAACAGGCATTCGCTGTGTTGACATTGACATGGCGTCATCTGTTACAGCAGCTACTCTTGTCTGACTCAGGGACACACAGTGTTCGCTGGTGTGTTACCTCACTGGATTCTGAGCAGAGCCCTGTGAGTTTGCCAGAACAAACACTGATCTCCCTGTTTTGTGGGTTCCCGATCGAAAGCCCTCACCCTTGCCCCACGTCGCCGCGCCAACCATAGAAGGTCAGACTCAAAGGAACCTTGGAGGCTGGCTCTCTTCCCATTCCACAGATGGGGAAAGCAGGCTCAGGGGGAGAGAGGATTTACTCAAGGCCGCAGAGCTGTTGTTGGTCAAAAGCTCTTCCTCTAAAGCTTACATGTGACCGTTCACCTCCTTACTGGGGAATGAGAAGAGGGTACCCCCAGGGGAGACTATGAGCACGTGTCTATCTGTGTGTGCCTGGTGCTTGAACGCAGAAATAAACACCCCTGGTAAAGTGGCTGGAAAAAAGGTTCCCAGTTCTCCAACCAGGGTAGGCGTTATGACAGCTAAAGAGACAACAGGAGGAAGGGAGGGAGAAGAAAGGCTATGTTCAGGGTCTGCTCCTCAATTTCAGGCCATGCAAAGCTGTCCTAAGACTTGGCAGTGCCAGCTGTCCACTGCCCTGTGAGCCCAGACAGTCAAATCTCTCCCCAGGCCCCTCTTAGAATGCTTGCCTTTCCTCTGGTTCCAAGCCGCGTCTGTACATTAGAATCACCTGGAGAGCTTTAAAAAATACCAGTGCACAGCCCACCCCAAACCAAATAACTCAGATATCTGAGGGTGGGGCCTAACTGGGGTTTTTATAGCTCCCCAGGAGACCCTAATGTACAGCTAGAGGATTACTGTCTTCAGTGACAAGTTTGGTCAGGAAAGGAGTGAGGTGATGCTCAAAGTTCACAGAAGACAATCACCCCTGAATTAAGGATGAAGGTCACAATGTCAGGATGGCCCCCACCCCAGCAATGTTCCTGGCTATCACAGTTGCGGGAGCAGATTTAAAAGAATATAATTGGAGAATATTTATTATTATTACTACTATTTTTGTTGTTGTTTGTGAGACTGTTTTGCAAAAGATATAACCTTTGTTCAGAAATGTAACCCTTGTAGACACCAGTGCTATAACTCTCTTTGGGTCCAGTCATGACAAGAATAAAATCTCCTAAGATTTTTCTCAAGCAGACCAGTCTTCGTCATCTTCAAGTTGTCCCATACCAAACTGTGATGGTTAATTTTATGTGTCAACTTGACTGGCAACAGTGCCCCCGGATATTTGGTCAGACATTATTCTAGGCGTGTCTGTGATGGTGTTTCAGATGCATCTAACATCAAAATTGATGGACTGAGTCAAGCAGATTGCCCTTCCTAATGTTGGTGGGCCTCATCTAATCAGTTGGGACCTGAATAGAACAAAAGGCTGACCCTCCCCCAAGTGAGAGGGAATTTCTCCTGCTTGACTCTCTTCCAGCTGGAATACTGGTTTTCCCTGCTTTTAGACTTGAACTGAAACATCAGCTCTTCCCAAGTCTCGAGCCCTCCGGCTGCTGGGATGGAACTCCACCATTGGCGGTCTGGGGTCTCCAGCTTGCTGACTGCAGATCTCGGTACTTGTCGGCTTCCATAATCACCTGAGCCAATTCTTTATCACAAATGCCACTCTGCACATGCGTATGCACCCTACTTGTTCTGATCCTCTGGGGAACCATGACTGACATGCCCAGAGAGGACCAGGCACCTGTATGGTGAAAGCTGCTGGAATAATCAAACTTGACATTTCCCCAGTCTTCTCCAGCTGAGGAATGGAGGGTGGGATGGGTAGACACGTCCACCCAGATGAGAAGGTCCCAGGGAACCTCAGGTCACTTGGGACACACAAAATTACTACCAAAGAGATTGAATTAATAATTCTCGAGGGATGTTTCCCTCAAACGAGGATGTTGTGGTGAACTGTTCCTTTCTGCTCCCTGGATATGAGCCATCGGAACTGGCACCCCCCTCCCCGGAATGGAAATGGAAACACACCAACGAACTCCTTCTGGTCCGGGGTCACCAACCCGGGGTCCCACAACCTCATGCCTTAACACAGTTAAGAAGAACATGGTTTGCTCTTGTGTGTTCCAGTCCAGACTTGGAACATCCGAGGCAGCTTGGTCCTGTATAGGTGAATGTCCTTAGGACCTGTTGTGTTTACTTGTTTCCATTTTGGATGACCTCTTCCTGACCTTGACCCTGTGCTGAGGGCAGTTTTCCAGAAGCCCGTGGGACCCCACACACCGACCATATGGACCTCGCTGTTGCCCTTCCAGTGAGGGGCGAGGGCTTGTCTGAGAATTCCTTGGTGCGCAGACTGCCCTGTCTCAGCATCTCAGCTGCTCGCTGACATCATGGGCTCAGCGCCCAGATGTGCCACCGGCTGGAGTAACATGGCACATGCTCCTTGGAGAGGCACAGGACCACGCTAGCCTAGACACCCTCTCTCCCTCGGGATCAAACTTGTGCAGATGATGGCCAGGAGGGGAGAATTCCTGGGGTGCTCTCGGAGGTCACTGTCCCCTTTTTCCTGTCCTGGTGGCAGATCCGCCCTGTTCCCTGCCCCTTCTGGTGCCTGGTGCTTCAGCTGTTCCTACAATGCTTGGCTACTTTTTATTTTTGAAAATGAAATGAGCCATAGGGTTTCTATTGCTTGTATCTAAAGAACCTCCATTGGTACACCTCTCTTCTTAAACACAGGACAGGGTGTCTCTACTGCTATACTTGAAGTGAGTGCACAGTAAATTGATTTTGAAATATTTAGGAGATTTTCACAGTGCTGTCCCTGCCCCTATCCTTCCAGCCCAAACCCCAGCTGGTTAAGGACCACCAGGAATATTGAAACACCAAAATTCAGTGGGCTCGCCTGGCTCGGGGCGTCTTCCGTGTGGGCGAGGCTCTCTGAGGGTGAGCAGGGTGTGGAAAGGATGCATGTCCTAGGACTAATTACAGCCTTGTAGCTGGGTCTGCCTTGGGGCGTCCCCTACCTTTCCCCAGGACAGGGATCTTCGGCATTAGAGGCTATGCCTGCTAGCCTGACGGGTGGCCTCTGACTTGCTGGGTGAACACTGGTTAACCCACATCTTGGGGGAAGGGTTATCGCCCCCTGCGGTCCCAGGCTGGTGTAGGGGGAAGAATCTGGGATTTGGGTTCCAATCCTGGCTCTGCCACTTGTTAGCTGTGTAGCTTTGAGCAAATGACCTAACCTCTCTGAGCCTGTTTCCCTCCCAGTAAAATGAAGACAGTCATATGGATACCCTATTTCACAGAATCCTTCTGTTATTTGCATGATATTTCATTGTAGTGAAATCATTCAAGACAGGGAGGCCGGAGCTAGACTGCTGGGTTCAAATTCTGATTTGACCATATAATATCTATGGGACCTTGGGGACAGTCCCTGTCCTCACCCTGCCTCACTTTCCCCTTCTGCAAAATGAGAGTGATCATAGTAGCTACCTTATGGGGTCTTTATGAAGACTAAGTGAGTTAATATTTGTCAAGTGCTTTTCCCACTACTTGAAATATCCTAAGTGCCAGGGAGGTTTTTTTGTTAAATAAATGCAAGCGCTTGGTAAGAATCTTGGCTATTATGATCATTATTCCCAGTGTCCAGCTCAGTGACCCGCGAGCATCTGAGTCTCACAAGTGTGTGGATGTCCCCCTCTCAAGGTGTTTTCACATTCAGGCAGCTGAGCTGGCGTGTCACAGGCTGGCCGGGTGGAGGCGGTCCTGCCAGCCCTGGGGCCATTTTCACCCCCAAGAGCGGTCCTCCCCACTCTGTGGTCAGGGGCTTCAGACCCCTCCCCCACGACCATACTGACCTGGGTTGTCCATGGGAGCCTGGGGAGGGGTGTGAGGAGGATGTGGTTGTCTCAGGCAGCAGAATGGAAAGTAAAGTGGTTGTTTTTCTGCAAAGAGGTGGTTCTGCAAAAATAAGAGGCAGTTAGTGTAAGTGGTGGGAAAGTGTAGAAAGTGCATTTGTGGAATGGAGAGACTCCCGGGGGACCGAGGCTTCTGACACACTGGAGGGAAGTCTAGATTTATTCAAAAAGGAACTGTAGGGTGCTTGCCATGTGCCAGACACTCTTCTAAACACTTAAACGACTGACTCTTTAATATTAATATTAACCTTGTGAAGTAGGTACTGTTTTCTCCCCATTCTGCAGATGTGGACATTGAAGCACAGAGAGGTTAAGTAACTATTTAAGGTCACATAGTACGGAAAGGAATGAGCACTTGAACTCAGACCATCTGGTTCTGGAGCTCATGCCCTCAGTCGTGACCCCACAGGAGGGACTCCCAAAGTCTGCTTCCCAGAGGGACACATCCCACCACGGGAAGCAGAGGGACGTTGAATGAATCCAAGAGCTTGTTTGTTGAAGAAACACAGACACAGACACAGACATAGACACAGACACAGACACAACACACACACACACACACACACACACACACTTGGGAAAGCTAATTGAGAGAGAGAACAAAGAGACAATATTAGGAATGATAAACATATGACATTTGTCTGTATGAAGTCTGAACCATCTATATCATACACAGTGTTCTAGGAACATACAAATGACTCAGAAAGCTCTAGAAAAGTTAGAAAAACTGCTTCTATCAGTAACCAGTGAGGAAACAGAAAGCTGTCCAAAAACTGGTATTTTGGCTCTTAAAAAAGTGGTGTTGGCTCAGAGGACTTCTTTGATAAGTTCTCTCAAACCTGCAGAGTAAAGAAAATTTGTGTGTCACTTAAACTGTCCCAAAGCATAGAGAAAGAAGAAAAGATTCTCTAAAAGAGCCAGTTTATCCCCGATACAAAAATCTAATAAGGAGCGTTTCAAAAAAATAGACAAAGCACTTCACACCCTCTGGGATAGCTATTATAAAAGGAAAAGCAAAAGAAAATAACGAGTGCTGGCAAGGGTGAGAGGAAATGAGGACCCGAGCACATTGTTGGCTGGAACGTAAAGTGAAAGAGCTGCAGTGGAAAAAAAAAAAGGAATGGTGAGTCCTCAGAAAGTCAAACACAGATTTACCATATGGCTTACCAGCAATTCCACTTCTAGGTAAATACTTGAAAGAACTGAAAACAGGGACTCTAAGAGATACCTGCACACCAGTGCCCAGAGCAGCATTATTCAAAATAGCCAAAAGATGGAGACACTCCAAGAGTGCACAACAGTGGATAAACCAAAAGTGGTCTATACACATAATGGAAAATAATGCAGCCTTAAAGAGGAATGAAATTCTGATACATGCTCCAATGTAGATGAACCTTGAAAACATCATGCTAAGTGAAAAAAGTCAAACACAAAAGGGCAACTATTAAATGATTCCATTTACATGAGGCATGTAAAACAGGTAAATTGACAAAGACAGAAAATATAATAGAGGTTACTAGGGGCTGGAGGGAGGGAGGAACGGGGAGTTTCTGTTTAATGGGTACAGACTTTCTGTTTGGGATGATGAAAAAGTTCTGGAAATGGACAGTAGTGATAACTACACAACATTGTGAATGTACTTAGTGCCACTGAATTGTACACTTTAAAGTGCTTAAAATGGTTAACTTCTGTGGTAGGTATATTTTACCACAATAAAAAAATAGGTCAACGACATCTATAAATACAGATATGTAATTTTAAATATATGTATATGTATGCATGTAAATATGTAAATATATGTATATGAACATATGTATGTATATGCATGACTGGGACATTGTGCTATACACCAGAAATTGACACATTATAACTGATTATACTTCAATTTAAAAAATAAATACATTTTAAAATAATAAATATCAAGTAATTGAATTCAATGCATTAAAATTATAATGCACTCTGAATAATTTCAGCCTATTGATAATCATAGAAATGAATATTAAAATGTGATATAACATTGACAAAGATTAGAAAAGATAATAACATCAACTGTGGGTAAGGATATGAGAAAATTTGCTCTGTCATATTTAGCTGGCAAGAATGGAAACTGGTATGGATTTTCTAGAGGGCAGTCAGGCAATGGGTATCAAAATTCAAAATGTGTATACCTTTTGCCCAACCAATTCCACTTTTAGGAATTTATCCTAAGGGAATAATTGGACAAGTGAATAAGGAATGTGTACAACAGTGTTAATTAAAACATTGCTTATAATGGAGAAAAAACCAGAAGACACCTAAAGGTCCAACTACAGAGTATCAATCAAGTGAATTAGAGTAAGCTATTCAGTGGAATACTATGCAGTCATAAAAATGATGATGTATATCTGTATTTACTGAATTGAAAAGAGCTTCAGATGTATTTATTTTAAACAGTAAGATAACAAGGGGGAAGATGTAGCTTAAGTGGTAGAGTGCATACTTAGCATGCCTGAGGTCCTGGGTTTAATCCCGGGTACCTCCTCTAAAAATAAATAAACCTAATTACCTCCCCCCCACCAAAATAAAATAAGTAAATAATAGAATAATAAATAAAATAAAAGAGAGATATTTATTTTTTAAAAAACAGTAGGTAACAGAACAGTTAACATATCTCTAACAAATTAATTTTTTAAAGTATATTTCTAAATTTGCATATATGCATTTTAAAAAGTCAGGAATAACAAAACATCAAAATGTGACCTTGAGGCTCTGGTTCTGGTAAAGATGGAGTAAGTACATACCACTGTAACTCTCCCACTGAATGCAACTAAAAACTCTGGGTAGTATGCATGGAACAGTTATCTGAGGATTCTGAAAAGTAAACGGTAGCAGGCAGAATGGGGAATAAAACCAGTATTTGACGTAAGAACAACCCGGCAGTGAGTCTTCTGCTTTCTCCCCTTCTCTATACCCTAGCCTGGACACAAGGGCAGCCTGAAACTCAGAAGTGTACGCTGAGGGAAGACAGGAAGGGTTAGAAGAAAAGTCTTCTCTTTCTGGTCTGAGGAGCAGAAAAGGGTCCCTTAAGGGTTGGAGAGATGGGGGAATTCCCTTTTTCTTTTCTGTTTTCTCCTACTAGAGCCTCTGGGTAATCCTGGGACAGCAGTAGCAACAACAGTAGTGGCAGTGGTGGCCATGCAGGTGCCCAAAATTCTGAGGAGGAGAATCCTTCTCTCAGACTAGAGAAACTGTGAACCCAAGGGCATGGGAAGAATCCCTATTTTTGCCTCCTTTATCAGAGGACCAAAACTCAGAAACAACAAACAAAAAATAAAGAGCAAAATTATAGACCTAAATTAAAACATATCAATAATTCATTAAATATAAATGATCTAAATACACCAATTAAAAGACACAGATTGTCAGTATAGATTAAAATACAAAATCTAAAACAACTCTATGCTGTTTACAATAAATTCAGTTCAAATATAATGCCATATATGGTAAAAACAAAAGAACAGAAAAAATATAGTATGCAAACACTAACCAAATGGAAGCTGAAGTGGTTATATTAATATTAGACAAAACAGATTTTAGAGCAAGGAAAATTACCAGGAATGCAGAGAGACATTATGTAATGATAAAAGGATCAATTCGTGAAGAAGATATGACAACTCTAAACATGTAGCACCTAACAACAGGGCTTCAAAATACATGAAGGAAAAACTAAAGGATAAGTAGATAAATCCACAACTGTAGTTAGAGATTTTAACAGTCCTCTCTTAGTAACTGATAGAACAAGCAGATGGAAAATCAACAAGGCTATAGAAAAACCGAATAATATCATCAACTGAATTTAACTGGCATTTACAGAACACTACACATAACAATAGAATATAAATTCTTCTCAAGTGCACGTAAAACATTCACCAAGATAGACCATACCCTGGGTCATAAGACAAACCTTAACAAATTTAAATTATTGAAGTTGTACAAAGTAGGTTTCTTCATCATAATGAAATTAAACTTGAAATCAGTAACATAAAGATAACTAGAAAATCCCCAAATACATATATCTTAAACAACACATTTCTAAATAATCCATGGGCCCAGAAAATAAAAGAGGAAGGAACGTTTTCCAACTCAGCACTAACCTGATACCAAAGCCAGACAAAGACAGTATAAGAAAAGAAACCAATATCCCTTGTGAACATACTGAAAAAATTCTCAACAAAATATGAGCAGACCAAACAGAATAGAGAGCCTAGAAATAAACTCACACAACTATGGTCAATTAGCCTTCGACAAAGGAGGCAAGAATGTACAATGGATAAAAAAGACAGACTCTTCAGCAAGTGGTGCTAGGAAAGCTGGACAGCCTCACGTTAATCAATGAAGTTAGAACACTCCCCCATATCATATCCAGAAAGAAACTCAAAGCAGCTTAAAGACTTAACTATAAGACATGACACCATAAAACTCCTAGAAGAGAACATAGGCCAAACATTCTCTGACATAAATCACAGCAATATTTTCTTAGATCAGTTCCCGAGGCAACAGAAATGAAAGCAAAAATAAACAAATGGGACCTCATCAAACTGATAAGCTTTTGCACAACAAAGGAAACCATAAACAAAACAGACAGCCTGCAGACTGGGAGAAAATATTTGCAACTGATGTGACCAACAAGGACTCAGTTTCCAAACAGTTCATACAACTCAATATCAAAAAGAAAACATCTGACATACATCTCAGCAATGTTCTCCTAGGACAGTCTACCCAGGCAATAGAAATAAAAGCAAAAGTAAACAAATGGGACCTAGTTAAACTTATAAGCTTGTGCACAGCAAAGGAAACCATACGCAAAACAAAAAGTCAACCTAGGGAATGGGAGAAAATATTTGCAAAAGATGAGGCTGACAAGGGCTTAATTTCCAGAATATATATAAACAGCCCATACAGTTTAATAAGAAAAAAGCAAACCCCCCAACCCCAAAATGGGCAGAAGACCTCAAAAGACGTTTCTCCAAAGATATACAGAAGGCCAACAGGTACATGAAAGGA